CTGGAAGAAGCTCCTGGCTCCTGGCTTCGGAAGGCGCAGCTCTGGTCATTTCAGTCATTTGGGAGTGAACCAGCAGATGGAAGACCTCTCTCTGTGTCTCTACCTCTCTCTGTAACTCTGTCTTTCAAATAAATAAAATAAATGTTTAAAAAAAAACTCAACAATAAAATCCTCTCATATGGGATGCTAACTTGCTGCAATGTGGGTCTCATGAAAAATAAATTTTTATACCCCATCCGTAGACTATACTTTGGGGAACACTCACAGATTCACTTAAATAAGTAATTCTGTCACTGAGAATAATGTTGTTAAAGATTTATTTATTTATTTGAAAGTCAGAGTTACACAGAGAGAGTCAGAGAGAGAGAGAGAGAGAGTCTTTCATCCGTTGGTTCACTCCCTAATTGGCCGCAACAGCTGGGGCTGTGCCTAACCGAAGCCAGGAGCCAGGAGCTTCTTCCGGGTCTCCCACATGGGTGCAGTAGAAAATGGGTGTCATTTTCTACTGCTTTCCCAGGCAACAGCAGAGAGCTGGATCAGAAGTGGAGCAGCTGGGCCTCAAACCGGCGCCCATATGAGATATTAGCACTGCAGGCAGTGGCTTTACCCGGTATGCCACAATGCTGGTCCCTGAGAATAATTTTTATCCAAGAAACACAGGCCATAGAAATAATCCAACAAGATTTACAAAATAAAAATTTAGTTTTCTTCTTCAGATGAAATGCAAACTCATGGAATAAGCTTGATGTATAGTTTGGAATTAATGATAAAGTTTTGCTGTTATTATCTTTGTTACATAAGGGTTTTGATAAAGTAAAATGTTTCAGTCCCCACTCTGATTCCCATTCAGAATTCCATTCTAGATTTCTGATGGTGCACACCCGGGTGGGAGTAGGTGATATCTCAAGTGCTTGGGTTCCTGCCGCAGATATGGAATGCCTGGATTTAGTTACCGGCTCCTGGCTTCTGTACGGCCTAGCCTTCTGTACGGCATTTGATGAATGAGCCAGTGGATGTCTCTCCTCCTCTATCATTCTGCCTTTCAAATAAGTAAAAATAAATAAATAAGTTTGAAAAAGGAAAATGGTTTCAGAAAAGTTCTATTTTCTCTCCTAACAATGAAGGTAACTGTGGTTTCCTACTGACCCTAATTGGTAGTTTATAAATGGAGGAAGTTGGGAAAAGGACAGAAAAAATAATACAAGAGTTGCACCGTATTTTAATGAAATTCATGTTAATTTAACATGAAGCACTCCCCAGTGTAACTAAAATAATATTTTAAAACATTATTGAAGGAAATTAAGCTGAAAATTTTTATTATTTCAAAAATTAAAAATTTTCACATTTCCCAAAAGTATTATAAATTAAAAAATGTCAGAGAATTTCAGTGTACCAAAAGGATATCTGTCTAAATTAGCTAAATGAATTACATTTTTATCTAAAAGTTATAATTGCTTGTTTGTTTCCACTTTCTTTTTTATTTTTTTTTAATTTATTTGACAGGTAGAGTTATAGACAGTGAAAGAGAGATGGAGAGAAAGGTCTTCCTTCTGTTGGTTCACTCCCCAGATGGCCACTATGGTTGGCACTGTGCCAATCTGAAGCCAGGAGCCAGGTGCTTCTTTCTGGTCTCCCATGTGGATTCAGGCACCCAAGCACTTGGGCCATCCTCCACTGCCCTCCTAGGCCACAGCAGAGAGCTGGACTGGAAGAGGAGCAACCGGGACTAGAACCTGGGGCCCATATGGGATGCTGGTGCTGCAGGTGGAGGATTAACCAAGTGAGCCACGGCGCTGGCCCCTGTTTCCACTTTCAACTATTCCTTCATATAGGGACTTTTTTTTAAAAAATATTCTCACTTTTAATTTATTCGCTTAAAATAACTTTCCTTTCCCCTCCTTTCATTTTCGATGAGTGAATCTGGCTATTTTTGTCCTTATACTATGCCTTTAAATGGTTATTTTATTCTTATTACTTTTCAATATTTTACTCATTTTAAGTAAACATTTTCCTGCAGACAATAATGGGTGAAAAGTGTCAATTAAATATTGTTATAGATAAGCCTCCACTGTTGCTTCTGAGGTTGAATTGATATGGTGTAACCAGTTAGTTAAAAATTTAGGTGAGTTGGACTCTTGTCTTTGCAAACTGGTGCTGTCTCTTTAACTGTTTGTTTGATATGTCCATGTTCCCAGGATGCATTTGTTGCATCTGGGACCAGGGTGCACACTCACACCCCACCTGAGTTGTATATCTGATTGGGGTATCATTCCCTTCCTTTATAAAAAGAGGTAGAGGTACTTGTAAGTGCCACTCTCGTTTTCTCTCTTTCCACCCTGGTCTTGGATAGACCTCTCCCACTCAGAGGTTCTGTTTTTGGTTTTTTCCTCCCTCCCTTGTTTACGGGCAACTCTTTGGCCCACTCATGTTGGGCATTTCTGCATGGGGTGGCCCACACTCATGTGTGAATGTGTATTTATTTCCTCACTGCTAAATAAATCCTGTTCCTATTTGTACACAATACTAGTCTCTGCTTAGTGTTTTTACTTCTATGGGAGACAAGAACCTGTATTGGAAATTAATGTATTCATTGCCCACAAAAATTATGTAAAAACAAACAACAGTGATGGTTACTGTCTACTTTAAGTTATGTGTAATGGCCAATGTCAAATAATTTTTGTGTGTTTTACACTGTCCTTTTCTTTTTGTCTATATTTTTAATCTAAGGCTATTTTACCCCAAATATCTACCTACTATAGGACGAGCACTGTTCCCAATGCTTGGGTTATTAACAGTGAATTAAATAAGTAGAGGTTGCTTCCTTCATGGCTGCTGGTGGTGGGCAGACAGAACATAAATAATAATGGGATAGGTGAGTTACACATTATGTTCGAAAATACTAAGCATCTGAAGAAATGGCAGCAGAGAAGGAGGATGGACAATATGCATGTGTGGGTGCAGTCTAAGCACTGTGGCAATATTAGGCCTCTTAGCCAAGGTGACATCTGAACAGAGACTTGAAGTGGGTAAGAGTGTGAGCTGCAGGCTTACTGGGACAAAGCATTCCAAGCAAGAGGGTGGTGAGTCCAAAAGACATAAGGAAAATACTACTGGAAGTCAAGAGTACTTCCAGAATATCTTCATCATTTTACTCTATATCTGACTTGTAACTATAGGAATTTGTGTTTGGTAATCTTTAAGCTACAATTTCACTAACCCATAACTTAAATATCTGGAAACTTCATATCTCCAGAACTCTCTGAGAAGCCAAATTATGCACTTAGAGGAGAGGCCTCAGGTCATTCTTTATGGCTTTTATATAACATTGACAAAGTTTGATTATCTGGTACCCAAGCTTTTTTTATTTAATAAATATAAATTTACAAAGTACAACTTTTGAATTGTTGTGGCTTTTCCCTCCATAACCTCCCTCCCACCCGCAACCATCCCATCTCGCACTCCCTCTCCCATCCCATTCTCTATCAAGATTCATTTTCAATTATCTTTATATACAGAAGATCAACTTAGTATATACTAAGTAAAGATTTCAACAGACTGCACCCACACAGATACACAAAAGAGAGAGTACTGTTTGAGTAGTAGTTTTACCGTCAATTCTCAAGCTTTTAAGACAGAAGGGATTTGATGGGAATTTTAACAGAGAGGAAGTTAGAGCCTCTCGCAGTCAGATCCACTGACAGCATGGGAGACCTGGGCTGAGCTCCAGCCCAGTTTCAACCTGGCTGAGCATTTGGGGAAGTGAACCGGGGAATGAGAGCTCACTCTCTCTGACTATGACTCAAATTAATTAACTTTTTTTAAAAAGGCCTGTGTATTTTCCTAACAAACTTGAAAACATTTTGAGAGATTTTGTAGTGATGTGGGCTAGGCAGGGAGCTGGTTAAGGAACTAAGGAACTAGCTGTCTTCTTGAGGCAGCCTTGCACTGCTAAAACCACACCCCTACAGTGTAGATCCAAAATGGCTACAGGCATGGCACACTCACTTTCTCTTGATCATGGGCTCCCCCATCAAGCACAGGACACCATGATGGCCACACGTATGCTGAGCTCCATGTGGAGATGCCACGAAACTGTCTTGGAGATCACCACTTGCACTGAACCCCATTCACCCAAATTCCAATTAGGACATTACTGCCACCCCTTAAAAGGGGTGACCAAGCTTGGGGAGGGCAGCCCCTTCTCTCTTCATGAAGGGAGGCTTCCCACACTCCTTCTGAGTATGAACTATCTCTTTAATCTCTTTAGATAAACCCTGTCCCATTCTCACACTTTATCTGTCTCTGATTTGATCCTTCTCTTATGTAAGAACTTGGAATAAATCCAGTTGGGTAGCCCCAACTCCACAGCAATAATACTGTTGAAAAACAAGCACCTGGTGACCCTATTTTCATGAGGGATCCAAAAGTATAAACCAAGACAGAACACATGAAATAATATGCAAATTATCTTGAAAATATAAACTATTAAATTCAGAACATTTCAAAGTGTGAAATAGAAGATAGTCAAAATGTTCACAGAAAATGCAATGAAAAGATGTTTATTTTGGTGCAAAATGCTTTTGAAACTGATAGTTCTTTCATAATATTTATTTTCCACAAACTTGCTGTACTGTGTTTCTTTCCTTTTTTTTTTTTTTTTTTTTTGACAGGCAGAGTTAGAGAGAGAGAAAGAGAGAGAAAGGTCTTCCTTCCGTTGGTTCACCCCACAATGGCCGCTACGGCTGGCGCACCATGCTGATCCAAAGCCAGGAGCCAGGTGCTTCCTCCTGGTCTCCCATGTGGGTGCAGGGCCCAAGGACCTGGGCCATCCTCCACTGCACTCCCAGGCCACAGAAGAGAGCTGGACTGGAAGAGGAGCAACCGGAACAAAATCCAGGGCCCCAACCAGGACTAGAACCCCAGGGTGCCGGCGCTGCAGGTGGAGGATTAGCCAAGTGAGCCGCGGTGCCGGCCGTGCTGTACTGTGTTTCTGTACTTACTTTGCACTAGCAGGATTGCAAGTGGTGAGGTTTGCCAGGGCTAGAGCTGCAGCTTCCCTCACCTCTTCATTGTCACTTTTTAGCAACTGAATCAACTGTGGAATCCCTGCATAGAAAGAAACGTGACTTAAAAATGTATATCCATGTGTACTGGGACATGGTAACCTAAAGTTTTTGTTTCCTGTTTGCTTACCATGATTATTGAAAAGACGTTTGCTGCCCGAACTCTCACACATTACCGAAATAGCTTGGGAAGCAGCAATTTTAGTTCCATCACTTTCAGAACCCAAAAGGGTTACAAGACACTTTTCAACCTCTTGTTCATGAAAGAATTTTCTATTTTCAGCTTTCATAAAAGAAAGGGAAAAAATCAGAATTTTACTGCAAAACTGTGTAGGTATTACTGCTCACCCACCCAAAGTATGATAGGAAGTCAAACCATTTACTAGCTTTAGTATCAGTCTAAACTAAACAAAATCTATACCTACTAAACCTTTAGAACACAAAATTATGCAAAATGAGTCACGGATGTTGCATTTTCCCCTATTCCCTTACATGATATCAATACTATTGCAAAGAAAATTCCAAAACAAGAGGCAACTTTTCAGCTTTAGCAAAACTCATTTAACATCAATCATGTGTTGACATATATTGCTTAATATTCAAATAGACTATCTTCTCAATAAAGGCAAAATCTTATTTATTTGATAGCTGTTTTAAACACAAAACCCAAGATTTGAAGATGTATTAATTGGTGAGCTAGATGCTTAAGACTTCGGAAAACAGGCTGACACTGTGGTGCAGTGGGTTACACCGCTGCTTGGGACACTAGCATCCAGGACCAGGATGGAGGTCCTGGTTTCTGCCTTCAGCATGGCTGTGACCTGGCTGTTGTGACAATTTGGGGAGTGAACCAGCAGATCGAAGATCTCTCTCTCTCTCTCTTTCTCTGTCTCTCTTGCTTTCTGTCGCTGTGCCTTTCAAATAAATAAATAGATCTTAAAAAATAAAAATAAGAAAAAATTGCAGGTGAAGAGCAGAGAAGAAAATAAAAAAAGGTACTAAAGCATGATCCCAAGTCTCAAGAAACTTGAAGAGTCATAGTTACCTTTTATCTGAATACGCAATACATACTTAAGTAGCAAAAATTTAAACAATTTCTTGTAATCCACTTAGATAATCCAAAAATACATTAGAATAGTTTTCTTTATTTCAAAGCAGTTATGGGGCAAGCGCTGTGGTACAGCAGGTGAAGCATCCACCTGCTGTGCCAGCATCCCATGTGGGCACCGGTTCGAGTCCTAGCTGCTCCACTTCCTATCCAGCTCCCTGCTTATGTGCCCGAGAATGCAGCAGAGGATGGCTCAATTCCTTGGGCCCCTGCACCCATGTGGGAGACCCAAAATAAGCTCCTGGCTCCTGGCTTTGGCTCTGCTCAGCTCTGGCCTTTGTGACCATTTGGAGAGTGAACCGGTGGATAGAAGCTCTCTCTCTCTCTCTCTCTCTCTCTCTCTCTCTCTCTCCCTCCTTCTCTCTCTCTGTAACTCTCTCAAATAAATAAAATACATATTTAAAAAGTAAATAAAAACACAGTTATGATTCATTCAATTAGGAAACACTAAATTTGAAAGTAATGTATTTTGATATGGTTTTGTTTCTTAAGCATTATTTCTCTCCTTTAGTTTAATTTTTTGTAATTGTCAATTTATTTACCATACATTAAATATTCCCTTAAGCTAAATTGGAGCATTAACATCTAACTTCTGTTGTGTTTATTTTCAGTTTTAAATAATTTTTATTTTATGTTCTAGCTAAATCTAAAGAAGTTATTACCTATTCAAGTGTATACTAGAAAAGGTATTTAGTGCCCAAGGAGTTACCAAGACTAGTGTGGAAAGAAATAGTTTACAAATAACTCTGCTAAATTATTTATAGTTCTGGGCTGGCATTGTGGCTCACTAGGTTAATCCTCCACTGTGGCGCCGGCATCCCATATGGGCGCCGGGTTCTAGTCCTGGCTGCTCCTCTTCCAGTCCAGCTCTCTGCTGTGGCCCAGGAAGGCAGTGGAGGATGGCCCAAGTGCTTGGGCACCTGCACCCACATGGGAGACCAGGACGAAGCACCTGGCTCCTGGCTTTGGATCGTTGTAGCTCCGGCCGTAGCGACCATTTGGCGAGGCGAACCAATGGAAGGAAGACCTTTCTCTTTGTCTCACTGTCTAACTCTATCTATCAAATAAATTAAAAAAAACTTATTTACAGTTCCCCCAAGATATTTTTACAGATTTTACTTTTTATTAATAACCTTGATAAAGCTTATAAAATTGACATTCATAAAGTCATCTTTCATGATTAAAATAGAAGAATGTGTGAATGTGTTCTTAGGATGTTAATATACAAGAGGAGAATAATCTGTTAAAACAAGAATCTTTGCAAAAATTGCTGATAATAATCTAGACTATAACGTTTACATGTGGAGCTAATTCATTACTTATGCATATTTTAACTAACACCTTTTAGAATTTTTCAGAAATTAATAGCAACTTGATTTCCATTTTAAAGTTAAGATATGAGTTCTCTCTTCATTTAGTAACAATTCAAAAATTTTTCACAGGTGCACTATCAGATTCAGATGGAACCATATCCTCAAATTTTATACCATGAAATCTAGCCAGAACCGGCACAGGCTAAGTAACTTAAACCAATCATGAACCACATTATATAATGCTAATATTTTAATCCTATGTTCCTTTTTATTTAACATTAGAATCTAGGCACTCACTAATTGTGTTTCATAAAAAAACTGCAAATAACACTTAAATCTCAAGTATGTGACTCCTAAAATGTTTTAAAATATATGTAATTCTTCATAGTTTTCAGTAACTAATATCTGAAACCTGTTAAAGTGAAATGAACACTATGAGAAACGGTGACTTGATCAGCCCTTGCCCTGACTGTTGATGAACAACTTAATACGTTATCCCTCTTAGTATTTTTTTTGTTTGTTCTACTTAATACTTTTGGTTGAATACTGTAATCAATACACAGTTATTCTTAAGTGTTGAAACTTAACTGAAAAGTGATCCCTGTTAAATATAAGAGTGGGAATAAGAGAGGGAAGAGATGTGCAATTCGGGACATGCTCAAGCTGACTTCCCCAAGTGGTGGAGTTAGAAACATACCAGGGGATTCCAATTCAATCCCATCAAGGTGGCATGTACCAATGCCATCTCACTAGTCCCAGTGATCAATTTCTGTTCACAATTGATCATAATGATAGGACTAAGAGCCAAAGGGAACACATAAACAAGACTAGTGTCTGCAAATACTAACTGATAGAATAAAAAAGGGAGAGAACGATCCAACATGGGAAGCGAGATACACAGCAGAGCCATAGAATGGTAGGTGTCCTAAACAGCACTCTGGCCTCAGAATCAGCCCTTAAGGCATGCGGATCCGGCTGAAGAGCCCATGAGAGTATTTCAGGCATGGAAAGCCAAGACACTCTGGAAAAAAAAATGAACTAAATGAAAGACCTCCGGGAGTGAGATCCCAGTGGAAAGAACGGGTCATCAAAGAAGGAGGTACCTTTCTCTGAAGGGAGGAGAGAACTTCCACTTTGACCATGGCCTTGTCTAAATATGATCAGAGTCGGTGAACTCAAAAGGCTTCCATAGCCTTGGCAACTCATGACAAGAGCCCAGGGTGATTACTGATGCCATAAACAAGAGTGTCACTTTGTTAAGTCAACAACAGGGAATCCACCACATCACTTCCTCCTCATGTAGGATCTCTGTCCTTAATGTGCTGTACATTGAGATTTAATGCTATAACTAGTACTCAAACAGTATTTTTCACTTTGTGTTTCTGTGTGGGAGCAAACTGTTGAAATCTTTACTTAATATATGCTAAACTGATCTTCTGTATATAAAGAGAATTGAAAATGAATCTTGATGTGAATGGAAGGGGAGAGGGAGCGGGGAAGGGGAGGGTTGCGGGTGGGAGCAAAGTTATGGGGGGGAAGCCATTGTAATCCATAAGCTGTACTTTGGAAATTTATATTCATTAAATAAAAGTTAAAAAAAAAAAAAAAACGCGGGGAGTGTCTATAACCCAGGCAGGGAGGTGACTATTGTGAACATGGTCAGGTGAACAGAGTAAAGACATAAGTAAGTCAACAAAGTAGAAGAGAATAATCAGGCAAACAAGGAATATGCTAATCTATTCTTTAGCACTGGGCCTAGGGATGTTGGTTTTGGCCTGGTACTGTGTTTTGGTAAGTGGACAATTCTAGGGCTAGCATTGTAACACAATGGATTGGGCTGATGTTTGAGATGCCAGCATCCTGTATTGCAGGATGTGTTCAAGTCCTGGTTACACTGCTTCCAATCCAGCTCTCTACTAATGTACCTGGGAAGGCGGGAGATGACGGCCCAAGTATTTGGGCCCCTGCCACCCACGTGATTCCTGGCTCCAGACTTCAGTCTGGCCCAGTCCTGGCTGTTGTAAGCATTTGGGTAATGAATCATCAGATGGAAGATCTCTCTTTGTCTTTCCCTCTCCTTCTGTCATTCTGCCTTTGAAATAAATAAATAAATAAATAAATCTTTTTTAAAAATGAGAGCTGGAATAAAATGGATTAAAAGATTTATTTTTTATTTTAAAAGAAGTGGGTAGGTGGGTAGTTACACCCACAAATGTTGTGGTTGAGGTAGTTCAGAGTCCTTAGGGGGAAGTGAACTGCTGGCTAAGCTTCGAATGCAGAGACTTCCTCAAATCCCTGTGCTTCCTGCCAGAAGAAGATTCACTCTCAAGGATTTACTGTGATTTGTAGACATAAAAAAACCCTGAATTTTTGTGGAGTCGCCAATCTTTCTAGAGTTCCAAGAATCATGAAATGAGCTTTCCAAATAGATATCTCCTAGGCTACAAGAAAACCAAAGAGAAGCTGAGACAGATAAAGGTTTTAGGTGTGACATTCTTCATTTCTCTCCAATACTGCTTCCTATAGGTCTCACTTAGCCAAGAAGTCCAGGAACAGAAGGACAACAGAACTGACATGCTCCAAGAATTCCCAAGTTGTACTGAAAGAGTACTGAGTAAACCACCTTCTATCTATGACGAAGCTTGATTTCAGAGTCTGTATTTAGGTTCAGCATTTATAATGTAATTTAGGAGAAAAAAGTTTCGCCTTGAAGAAATTCAGTACTGAATGTAAAGGAAATTCTTCCCATAATAAACAGATCATGACACATAGAGATCGATATATAAATCAGTTAAAATAGTCAAAGCTGTCAAATTTATAACAGTAGTGATGTGGGAGAAAAATTAAATCACATCTAAAGATTTATATCACCACAGCTTGTCACAGAAATGAAAACTGGATTATGTAGGTAGTATGCACATATTGCTTTTCACATCTATACAAGATGGTACCATCAACTACAACTGATTGGAAACTGCTTTTTTAAGACATTTTATCCATTTTTTAAAGATTTATTTATCTATTTGAAGGGCAGAGAGAGAGAGAGAGAGAGAATTTCTTCATCAGCTGGTTTACTCCCCAAATGGTCACAGCAGCTGGGCCTGTGCCAGATTGAATCCAGGAGCCAGGAGTTTCTTCCTCAACTCCCATGTGGGTATGGGGGCCCAGCACTTGGGCCATCCCCTGCTGCTTTCCCAGGTGCATTAGCAGGGAGCTGGGACGGAAGTGGAGCAGCCGGGACTTGAACAGGTGCCCATATGGGATGCTGGTACTGCAGACAGAAGGTTTACCTTCTATGCCACGGTGCTGGACCCTGAAAACTACTTTACAGATATCATTATGAGGAAGGGTTTCTTGCAACAATGCTTTCAGGACCATAAATAATTAATATATTCTATATAAGTACAAATTTATTATGTAAATGTCATTAAATTAATTAAATTTAATGTAAATATTATTTCATTGTATTTACATTGAGCTTATTATATTCCTGACAAAGCAACCACTGATTTAACTCATGACAGTGTTTGGGCTTAAATAGTAAGTATACCACTATTCTCAGATGGTTTTTTAAAAGCAGGCAAATACTCTACTGCTTTTAGTACTAATCAAAATTAAGAATACTTAATTTAGATAAGTATACATACAATCATAAGCTGCTTTAGTAATTGCTTTTGCTGCATTCTTCTGAATATCAGGAATTGTAGAGCTTTCTGCAAATGATAGGAGTTTTTGAAGCCCCCCTGTCTGCTGAATCAGCACCCTGGTATCCGCATCTTCAAGGCAGTTGGCTATCACGGAAAGGGCTTCTGTATGAAGGTCATTCAATTCCTAATAACAAGCACAAGCACAACTTTAGAAAGATGTACTGAAAGGAACTTACACTGTTTTATTTCAGAAGAGTCTAAGGACAGTGAGAACATAATTTTGTTGTGACAGAGGCCTAAGGAAACAGGAGTTCTGCTTATCAAAGTAACACCACTCTCCCTAATCATCTTCTCTCCATTCCCTTACTCTCAAATGTTTTATGGATGAAAAATGAATGCCCTTGAGGAAGTTTCCAATAACGGTAGTCAAGTGAAATTGCCCAAACAACCTTCCACAAAAACAGTTCTAAAATCTGGAGAAAACTTAAAAAAAAAAAAGCAGATGGAAACTGGAGGAAAATATTTCTTAAACTGTGCAAATGGGAAAGGTAAGTATTGTGAATTTGTGGTTTTCTTGCCTGAGGTTACTCTCAAATTCCTACAACAATGGAAAACAGTAGCCCTATCTGAACAGCTAGAAATGTAAGGGGGAAATCCTTGGGGTGATGGAAACATAGAAAGGATGGTCCGTCTTCACAGTATTCCACAGAGAACTGCTTCTGACTGAGCTCACTTCACAACCAAAAACTGCAACAGTGAGCCCATGCTCATGGAATTCACTGGTCTTACCATGTTCCCTATCATCATAAAGCAGCCAGCTGCACAGAACAGTGGGATGGCCTTTTAAAGACTCACTCATAACTCAAAGTTCTCCAGGAGACTGTTTATGCTTTGAATTCGTGTCTGGCGGATAGTGGCTTTTCTCCCACAGCCAGAAATCAATGAGTTGAGCTGGAAGTGGTACCATTCTTTATTAACCCTAGTGACTTACTAGCAAAATGTTTGCCTCCTACACCTGCAACCATATGCTCTGCTGGCCTAGGGATCTTAGTTCCAAGTGGAGGAACACTTCCACACCAGGAGCTACTACAATAGGTCTACCGAACTTGAAGTTAAACTGCCACTTAGAAACTTTTTTCTCCTCATGCCTCTGAATTAACAATCAACAAGCAAAGGGTTACTGTGCAAAGGGAAATTGGACCACTACACCACAACTGAAGTAAGGAAGAATATGTCTGGAAAATAAGAGATCCCTTAGCATAACCATACCCTGCGACTAGTCAGTGGAAACTAGCATGGCCCAATCCAAGGTTACTAATGGCCCAGATCCTTCAGAAATTAAGGTCTGCAATATCTCACAGGGAAAGAGCCACAGCCTGCTGAGGTGCTGGCTACGGGCAAAGGGAGTATGGAATAGGTAATGGAAGAAGGTAGTTATGATCAACCAAGTGGTCATTGACAGAAATGAGGTTTGTACTTGTCAAGAGTATTTCTTCTTTATTTTGTTATATGTGTATATGTGTGCATGTATGTTTGTATATGTATATGTTTTTCCTTTATCCTATAACATGACATGTATTAATTTTATATAATAAATTTTAAGTTCTTGAATATCAAAGAGTCAACATCGCCCATTATTTCCTGGGGGAAAAATTAATGAACTTTTGGCTGCGCACCGACATTCTGTCACACTGAGTGGAGGTACATCTTTGTCATTGCTTAACTGGCATTGAGTCTTAATGCTTCCTGAGTCTGCACTCAACTGGCCTTCTTGGCATCCGGCCTACCCTGTAGATTCTGGATCGCCCAGCCTTCACAATTACATAAGCCAATTCTTTAAACAATACTCTTCCATACATATTTTGTTATTAGAGTTAATTTAATTTATTAGAATACTGAAGCAGGGGCAATGAATATGGAATCTATGTATTACCATTTCACTCTGCAACTGAGAATCTGGACACTTTCAGAAGCTATCCACAGCATTTCAAGTCAATGAGTGGTATCCATTACACTGCTGATTGGTTTTGGTTTATGTAAATAGGAAGTCTTGGAAGACATTGCAGATTCTAAATGTGTATCCTTCATACCTAAAAACTTAGGAACAACTATGGAAACTCAGATGTAATATTGCTCAAAATGTGTTTAGAAAGTGAATTAATTATTCTTCTTTCTTAATCTCAGAGAAAATCAGGACAAAGATTAAAGGACTAAATCTATATATTTCAGGATACCAGGAGGAAGACCTACACAAGAATGTAAAAATCTTAAATCTTCTAAGCCAGAAGACTACTTGATTACCTTATAATGGCCTCTGTAAATGGTTTGATTTAATTAGGCTAATTAAAAGACTATGCAGCAATTAGAAAGTTAGTCTGTTACAGTCAGTGTTGTGCTAACATGCAGTAATATTTTGTTAAAAATTGTGCAATTTATATTTTACAACAATATTTAGGAGAGATGTATTTCTTCATAGGGAATTGAATGAAAATTGCAAATACCTTACTTTCTAGGATCTTAATAAGTTGGTCCAGTCCTTGATTATCTCTTAGCATTGTTAGGGATTCTTTATCATTTGTAATAACACCCAGGGTTTTCAGAGTCAACAACTGAATTACTGGATAGTCAGACTTCAAGAGAGCTAACATAGAAGGGATTGCATTTAGTTCTTGAAGTGCAATTCGACATTGAAAATCCTGCCACAAGATACAAATGATCAAATCAGCAATGTTTTAAAGCAAAATATATTATGAAGAAGGGAGAAATACTGCTTTACAGCAAAAAACATTATTATTTATCATTTTCTCATCTTTTATTCCATTTCCTTCCAAAATAATTCACAAACAAAAACAAGGAAACTCTCAATTGGCAAAACCAACATTTGTATTTTAACCATGAAGACCTTGTCAACAACAGGAAATACATATGATCTGTGACTCTTGCAATATCCATTATTTATTTATTTTCCAGCAATTACTACTACTAGAAACAGTATGACAATAAATATATGCATCATAATATTATTTTCACACTCTGATATACTATTTCAAATAATATGTGTTGTATGAAATGATGGCTTTATTATCCTTATTATTATCTTCATTCAAAAGGATTGTTTATGAAAAACCTGTATGCAAGCTATGCTGTTGACAGGCCCTGTGCATGCGAATGTATAGCCAGTTTAGTTTAGATACATGATTTTTTTTGGCTATTTTGATATTTTTTATTAAGGGCTATACAAATATCCAGGAAGATAAATAAATATGATGCAATGATATGTGTCCCGAAATGAGGAACTTTCTTTCACTGCATTGTTTGCTTTCACAATGGCCTTCAAACAACAGGGGGTAGTGATTCTGTGCCCTTTCTCTTCTTTTATTACACACTATTGGTTTCTGAATCAGCAGCCTGTCCTTGGTATTCACATTTACAAACCAAATTCATTTCCAGCCCACTATTTAGAGTGAGTGCATTTTTTTCTGTTCTACGAAGAGGACCTTTTGGTTCACATTTGGATCATAATGCACAGGGGTCAGTTTCTCCCACAGTCTGCTTCTCTCGGTGTTGAAGCAGAAGCCGGTTACAGCTTGGCTTATCATTCTCACCAGAACGGTTTTTGAGTTGTTCTTGGCAAAGGAGACCACTGAGGGGAACATGGCGACTGCTCCCATGCAGTCTCTGTAACCGGCCCAAAGTCCCAGATGCAGGAGAGAGACAGAGAGAGAGAGAGAGAGAGAGAGAGAGAGACAGAGAGAGAGAGAGAGAGAGAGAGAGAGAAATCCTCCATCTGCTGGTCTGCTGGTTTGCTCTCCAAATGGCCAACAAGGCCCAGGCTTGTCAAGGCCAAAGCCAGGCACTCCACCCCTGGTCTCCCTAAGTGGGTGGCAGGCACCCAAGAAAGTGGGCCATCTTCCATTGTCTTCCCAGGTGGACCCTCAGGGGGCTGGATTGGAAGCAGAGTGCAAGAACCCAGCGAGCCCTCCAGTGGGATGCTGGCATCACAAGCAGCACCTCAGCTTGCTGCATCACTGTGCCACACCTCAGATACATGATTTTTAAGACATTTACAGTATCAAGAGGGTCATTATGGTCTGGAAATGTTGTTCGTTGTGTGTGTCTGTAATTCTGTGTGAGTGTGTGGAGGGTAGGAGTTTCTCAGGGTAGGTTTCGGTACAGAAAATAATGGAAGATGCCACGAAAAACCTCTAAACTCTGACTACTAAATCATGACATTTTAAATAAAAATGTAGTAAGTATCAAATAATACACAATGTGGAAAATGTTCTATTTACAAATTAGCTTTCCCGTATCCATCCTTCAGCTCACATCTGATCTTTAGTTTCCTTTAAACAAACCACAAACTGGAGGTTGCTCTTTGTCATGGATTGAATTGTGTCTCCCTACAATACGTATTGAGGTCCTGACCTCAATACCTCACAATGTGTCCTTATTTGCAAACAAGGTTCTCACTGCAGATATAATCAGTCAAGATGAGGTCATCGTGGAGCGGGGCAGGGCCTTTATGAGAGACAGAGACCCAGAGGGAGAGATTGTGGCGAAGTACATGCAAATAAAGGAATGCGAAAGACTGATGGCAACCACTAGGAGCTGAGAAGAGGCAGGAAGGAATCCACAGTCTCAGAGGGGGCAGTTTCTACTCCCTTTATTATGGCCAAGCTAAACTGGATGCAGAGAAATGGACTATTGGTATACACTGATGTCCTAGCGTGGTGGGCTCCTGAGGTGGACATGGAAACTCTGTGCCCACCCCCTCCTTCCCTTCCCTTGTCTTAGACATTTATTCCATTTACCAACCCTGGGTTATACCTTTCATAATAAATCAATTAACATAAGTGAAATTATAAGACAAAAATGAATATCTGGACATTCTATGGATGTCTGATGAAATTAATGGATTATTGTTAATTTGTTAGATATGATTATGTTTTTACACCTTTTCAAAAATCTCATTTTTAGAGATACATACTGAAATATCTCTATGATTGAAATAATATGATATAATTTGCTTTAAAATAATTGAGGAGGGGCTGGCACTGTGGCGCAGTGGGTTAACGTCCTGGCCTGAAGTGCTGGCATCCCATATGGGCACCGGTTCTAGTCCTGGCTGCTCCTCTTCCAATCCAGCTCTCTGCTATGGCCTAGGATAGCAGTGGAAGATGGCACAAGTCCTTTGGCTCCTGCGCCCGCGTGGGAAACCCAGAAGAAGCTCCTGGCTCCTGGCTTCGGACTGGCGCAGCTCCGGCCGTTTTGGCCATCTAGGTAGTGAACCAGCGGATGGAAGACCTCTCTCTCGGTCTCTACCTCTCTCTGTAACTCTGTCTTTCAAATAAATAAACTAAATCTTTAAAAATAATTGAGGAAACAGCGAATAAGGGTGTAGATGAAACAAGCTTATCATGTATTTATAGTTGTTGAAGTTGGGTGATGGAATGGGTATACTGGGTTCATAATTCTGTTGCTGTAACTTTGTTTATATTTGAAAACTTTAATGTTTAGTTAAGAATAAACATTTTAGAAAAAGAGAAAACAACCAAAAAAGAAATTATGCAAAACTAGTTGAATTTTTAAGTGTTTCATTTTCCAAATTGGAAATAAATTCCAACATCAGCTTTTCTCAAAAACACTTTTTAAGGAATTAGTCTTACCTGTACCAAGTTGTAAAGGCTTTCAATAGAATTTTTCTGGACATCAGGGTCTGGGCTATTCAGTAGTCTGATAAGTGGCTCTAATCCACCATGTTCACATATTTGCACTTTCCCAGTGTATTCTGCAGACATGTTTGCTAGACAAAGACTAGCAAACTCGTGGGTAACCACTTCTTCTGTATGCCAAAAGTGAATAAGACAAGTGTGTGAAATGCTTATTCAACACTACTTTTGAAATATGCTTTGAAAGCCAAAACACTACAAATTGTACCTTGCTTAGAGCACACCTATTTTCTAAACTCAAAACTAAGCTGTAGTTGGACAGATTTCACAATTACTACCTCATGAACTCTTTTCAATATGCAATCAAATGTAAAAAATAAACAAGTTCTATTTTTAAAATACATATAAGATTCAAAGTTACCTTCTGGAGCAAGCTGGGCAATAACGGAATCCATGACATCTAACTCCCTTAACAATTTTTTAACATCATCTACACAGGAAAAACAGAATATTGATGTTGATTATTAATGATAAGTGCAATGTCTATTGAACAGTACCGTATGAGATAGGCAATATTATCACAGAGCTTGGAAGTGGTGAGGCCAGGTTTCATTCCCAGACAGGTCTGATCCCTCACAGTTCCTAGCTTCTATACTTCTTGACCACTGGGATACACTACCTTTCAAAACACTGAAAATTATAAATATAAAAGTGCGAATTCTGCCAAGAATACTACAAGTAAAGCCAAGTTACTGTGATACAACACTTGTTTATTATATTAATTCATTTTCTGCTTTGTTGGGAGGATACTTTTAATTTGGTTGTAATAGAGCTCGCACAAAACACAAATAAGAATTATCTTAGCCAATACATCTTGATTACATTTCATTTGATTATCAGAAATGCCAAGAAAATGCTGAATAACAAGTAGATTGACTTTTTTTTTTTTTTTTTTGACAGGCAGAGTAGACAGAGAGAGATAGAGAGACAGAGAGAAAGGTCTTCCTTTGCAGTTGGTTCACCCTCCAATGGCCGCCGCGGCTGGCGCGCTGTGGCCAGTGCACTGCGCTGATCCGATGGCAGGAGCCAGGTACTTATCCTGGTCTCCCATGTGGGTGCAGGGCCCAAGCACTTGGGCCATCCTCCACTGTACTCCCTGGCCACAGCAGAGAGCTGGCCTGGAAGAGGGGCAACCGGGACAGAATCTGGCACCCCGACCGGGACTAGAACCCGGTGTGCCGGCGCCGCAAGGTGGAGGATTAGCCTAGTGAGCCGCGGCGCCGGCCGAGTAGATTGACTTTTTAAAAAGTCATTTTTATACAATTTATATTAGCCCAATTAAGGCTAGACAGGTTATGTCCCCACTTTTTCTTGCAACCCTTAACCTAATTTTTTTCTGATAAATAAGGTATGGCTGATCCTTTGTTATTTTTTAAAACAAATTTAAAATTAATAATAATAATACGCATTTCTTTGGCTTTGGTGTGATCAGATCATGGTGTAGTGTTCACAGTGAGGCCATAGCCTCCTGAATATTGGACATGGCTACAGTCCTGCTTCTGCCTAAGCAGGCCTTGTGGAGGCACACCTTCCTAGATGGAATGCAGCTGCAGGAGCAGAAGGTTTGAGTTATTATTAGATATTGCTTTTAGGAAAATTCCTTGTCATAATTCAAGGGCAAAGAAGATGAGCCTGGAGCAACTTGAACTTTCGCTTCACACCATAAATATGTCACATGATGCTTATCTCACTTGCTTGTGCCTGTTTGTTTTTCTTTTATAATGATTAGTCAGGCTGTACATCCCTAACTGTTGTGTTACTTGTTGACCCTAGACTAAATAATAAAATGCTCCTGCTGGAGCTATCCAGCATCTCTCTCTCTCTCTCTCTCTCTCTCTCTCTCTCTCTCTCTGTCTTTTTTCATTATTTGACAGAATTAGTGAGAGAGAGAGGCAGAGAGAAAAATCTTCCTCCTGCTTGTTCACCCCCCAAATGGCTGCTACGGCCGGAACTACGCCAATCCAAAGCCAGGAGCCAGGTGCTTCCTCCTGGTCTCCCATGAGGGTGCACGGGTCCAAGCACTTGGGCCATCCTCCACTGCCTTCCCAGGCCACAGCAGAGAGCTGGACTGGAAGAGGAGCAACCGGGACTAGAAGATGGGGCCCATATGGGATGGCGGTGCCACAGGCAGAGGATTAACCTAGTGAGCCATGGCACCGGCCCCACTTTTTTTTTTTTTTATTTGACAGATAGAGTTAGACAGTGAGAGAGACAGAGAGAATAGCCATTCTCTTCGGATCAAGATGCCCGTGTCTTGGCTAGTCACTTGAAATTCCCCACATGGTGATCAACATTTCTGCTTTTTGACATTACTTTATGATCAGAGGCTTGCAGCTCCTTTCTGCTATTTGTTCATAAAATACATGCTAGGTTATTGTGAATAGCATTACCAACTTATTCCTTTAAGCTAATTGATTTGGTGCCCATTATCCGAATTGCTTCTATCCCCCTTACTGCTCCCCAAGCCTCCAGTGATCACCATTCTGTGTTGAGAATGAATGTTTTCAGATTCTACAGATAAAGAAGAACATGTGGTAATTGTCTTTCTGTTTGTTGTTTATTTCACTTTCCTCCAGCTCCATCCATTTCGTTACAAATGATAGGATGTAAGTCTTTATTATGGTTGATTAATATTTCATTGTGTATATATAACATTATCCCTATCCATTCATCTGTTGTTGGACACCTTGGTTGATTCTATGTGTAAGATCTGACACTGAAAATACTAGAAGAAAACATGGCAGGAAACTTAAAGATATTGGTGCAGGCAATGATTTTTTTTGTTAAAATCCCAAAGGTGCTCTTTTAGTTTTGCAGTTTCTCATTTTGGTCAATTTTCTTTGTCTGCAAGGCATAATTGGGACTACCAGAATTTTGGAAAAATGACTGTTGCAGCAGCTGAATCTGATGGTCTCTGGATCAATTCTTTCTGATTATATACTCAGCTGTGACTAAGACACAGCGATATGTCACTGTCACTGTTCAAAATGGCTAAGAGAGGTCCAACAAAATTTACAGTACAATATGTGAATTGACTTGAAATACAAAGAACAACCAAGCTTCTAGGAATGTAGTGTTCTAAGGGGATTGATGTCATTTTATAATCAACTTCATTTTAAAAACTGTATTATAGTTCCACAGATTAAGAAATAATAGTAGGATATACTCGGACCTTCCAAAGTATTTGGGTGAACTGTTCAGAAGTGCAGCCTCTGAGAAAGACTGTTTCTATCCTCTTTCACTCTTAAGATTTCTGTTCGAATGATAGTTATGAGGGCCCTACCAAAGTCTCCTATTTTGCATGCTTCAAAACAACTATGAGCCTTTAGATCTCCACCTGCATCCCACATATACTATAAAAAATAACCTTCCTGATACTTCAAAGCGACAACATGCTCAAGAAATCCCACTCTGCACTCTGGTTCCCACAGAGAGAGGCCACAGGGCTCTCCTTCGGATGAATAGCATCAGGTGACACCACACCCCAGTCTTCCCAAACAAGTTAAAAGTGTGTCAGGGGATTCTTTGTGCCATGAAAACTCCCTTCTAGGTTTGAATTTAGTCCAAATGGCAAGTAATGCCTAATAGCAGATCTGATAAATGTATCCACCACATCATATGATTCCAGTTCAATGGGCGCTCTTGTAAGTTGGTGACACAATTGATCAATTTATCATTCTGCTTTTTGACACCAAATTGTTCAAACAATCTTTCTTTTCTTGAGGTTAAATCAGTGAAAATAATGGACAAGATGTGTTTCTATCACTTTAAATGTGATACTGATCTCGGTCCCCTTCGTTCTTAACTGGGAACATGCTCAAATATGGCTAATGAACAGAAACTGACCTGTGGAGGATGACATTTTCTAAACAGTGTGATACCTAAAGTTTTAAGTTGTTTCAGAACTGTTAGCATCTTCACTCCCTAGAGTACCTTCACAATAAATTGTTTTTTTCTCTTAAAAAATTACTTATTTGAAAGGCAGAGTGACAGAGCAACAGTGAGAGAGTGACAGTGAGAATGAGAGACAGACATTGAATCTTGACTTTTTTTTTGACAGGCAGAGTTAGTGAGACAGAGAGAAAGGTCTTCCTTCCGTTGGTTCACCCTCAAATGGCTGCTATGGCCCGGCGCGTTGTGCCGATCCGAGCCAGGAGCCAGGTGCTTCCTCCTGGTCTCCCATGGGGTGCAGGGCCCAAGCACCTGGGCCATCCTCCACTGCACTCCCGGGCCACAGCAGAGAGCTGGACAGAATCCAGCGCTCCAACCGGAACTGGAACCCCGGGTGCCGGCGCCGCAGGCGGAGGATTAGTCTAGAGAGCCACGGCGCTGGCTGAATATTGACTTCTAATAGTAAGTATCCTGCTGCCAGAAATATTCCCCAAGCCCTTGCTTTACAGCACAGCCACCATTAGGGCTCCCGAAATTGCAGACTTCTCCTAAGCACCCCAAAGAATTCTACCTGCTCCAGACACTGCAAGTGCTGTTACCCAGAGTCTGTGCCTGACACAAATCTCCCTTTCCGTTCTTCTGCCCATCCTCTGTTTATAGGCATTTCTGAAGATACTATAATGCCAAAGTTCCTTCTGAGCGTAATGAATAAGAGGATCCCACTGTCATCACACTGGGACCAGAGCTTCTGTGGTCTCTGGGGTGGGAATAGCGGAAAGTAGGGGAGAGAACTTGCTCTTGTGTTTGAACAGACTATGGTCTGCGGGGGGCGGGGGAGAAGTCTGCTTTTTAGCCATGTCCCATGGTAGAGAGACACATGTTTATTACTAGCAGCCTGAATTTCATGGTGGAATTCTATGTCCACTGAGTGTCAATTATTGGAAGTTTCAAGACCTTTTTTTGGGTGACTCAAAAGCTATCCTAATAACATAGGCAAATGAACTCATGAATAGAAAATGTATCCTGTTTATAAGTCAGAGAGTGTCTTGGCATGATTTTGGCCAAACTGATATTCTAACATATGCAATACTAGGCTTTAATTAATACTATTATACTACCATATTGAAACATTCCAAGTAAGTAAAAATATAGTTTATAGTTTAAAAAATCACGTATTAAGACTCCTTACGTTGGAATCCATTCCTATGGAATATATACAAAAGGGAACTTATGTTTAGGCAGTGGATTTTTCAAAAAGAAAATCAATTTTAAGAGAATGATGGCTTTTTCAGTTGGTAAGGCTGGTACATATTATGTCATCAACTTTGAGAGAAGATTTTGGGTGGATATATTTCTACATATTTTTATATTTTAAAAATACCCCTTGAAAATATCATACATTTGCTGTTTTGGGCTGATTTAATTTTTTGCTATATTAAAGTTGGCTTAAATAAAGTTAAACAAATCTTTTATTTAAATGAAGGATAGTGCATTATATAATATTGACCATTAAAGTTGATACTTACTATTAGAAGTCAAGATTCCAAATATCATAGTAGCATTTCTTTTTACTATTTTGTCTTCATGGATCAGCAGTTTAGTTAAGGGTTCCACAGCTCCAAGTTCAAGGAGGGTTGCTTTATTTTCTTCGCCTGATATCACAGGTAAAATTAAATCATACACGGATATCAATTGATTCCATCTACACTCCTCTTTGTGTCTTTCCAATTTCTTTTCTTTTTTTTTTGCTTATTTTGTATTTTCCTTTTTCATGCTTCTTTTATTTATTTATTTATTTAAATAGACTCAGTATGATTTGTAGATACAAGTCTAGAAAGTTAATGACATTCTTTTCCTCCCTCCCTCCTTCCTACCCTTCTCCTTCCTTCTAACTTTTTTTTTTAGTTTCAGTGATAACATATATTCAATTTATGTTATAGTAAAAAAGGCTTAATGCTTCACTAAATAAGTTTAACAAGTAAAGAGCAAAATGAATTTAGTGGGAATATATACAACAGCTATAAACAATCGTGAAAGGTATAAATAACTCACAGTTTCTTTTTGTCAATTAGCCATTCATAATTTTTTTTCAATGTGATAGAAGCAATGGCCATGTAACATGTAAATTTCCTGTGTGGTTGCAAGATATTGCCTTTTTTTTTCACACGCGTCTTTGTTTCTCCTCCTATTTAAATTTCCTGTGTGGTTGCAAGATATTGCCTTTTTTTTTCACACGCGTCTTTGTTTCTCCTCCTATTTCTGTAAGAATCAACCTGAAGGCCAGAGTAGCCCAAACATTTGCTTCTCTCCCTTCTCCTTGGTATCGTGAAAGGTGGCTTTCTCTCATCTTCAGTCTTAAGCTTATGCTGCATCTCCCTAGAGGTCCTCCCCATGACCCATCAGTTTCTATTTAATGATGGGACCACATCCAAATCTATCTTACCTGTTTTTATCCTGCTTTATTTTTATTAGACCATCATTTTCCTGCTTCACTCTAATTTAGCTTTCTTCAAGGACAAAGTCTGCGCTAATCTCTCATATCCTTGGTGGCCAGCACAGTGCCAGCCATGTAATAAGCATTCAGTAAATGGTTGCTTGCATAATTAATCATAAAAGCTATCATCACATAGAGATCCCACTTCATGTTACACTTCTTGTGGAGGGTGTGGGGGACTCATTTTTCACTAAATTGAGTTACAACTCTTTTTTTTATTATAAACACTTTTATTTAGTAAATATAATTTTCCAAAGTACAGTTTATGGATTACAATGGCTTCCCCCCCCCATAACTTCCCTCCCACCCTCACCCCTCCCATCTCCTGCTCCCTCTCCCATTCCAATCACATCAAGATTCATTTTCAATTATCTTTATATACAGAAGATCAATTTAGTATATATTAAGTAAAGATTTCATCAGTTTGCACCACACAGAACATAAAGTGTAAAATACTGTTTGAGTACTAGTTATAGCGTTAATTCACATTGGACAACACATTAAGGACAGAGATCCCACATGAGGAGTAAGTACACGGTGACTCCTGCTGTTGACTTAACAATTTGACACTCTTGTTTATGGTGTTAGAAATCTCCCTAGGCTCTAGTCATGAGTTTCCAAGGCTATGGAAGCCTCTTGAGTTCGCTGACTTTGATCTTATTTAGACAAGGTCATAGTCAAAGTGGAAGTTCTCTCCTCCCTTCAGAGAAAGGTACCTCCTTCTTTGATGGCCCATTCTTTCTACTGGGATCTCACTCGCAGAGATCTTTCATTTAGTTTTTTTTTTTCCAGAGTTTCTTGGCTTTCCATGCCTAAAATACTCTCATGGGGTCTTCAGCCAGATCTGAAGGCCTTAAGGGCTGATTCTGAGGCCAGAGTGCTGTTTAGGACATCTGCCATTCTATGAGTCTGCTGTGTATCCCACTTCCCATGTTGGATCGTTCTCTCCCTTTTTTATTCTATCAGTTAGTATTTGCAGACACTAGTCTTGTTTATGTGATCCCTTTGACTCTTAGACCTATCAGTGTGATCAATTGTGAACAAAAATTGATCACTTGGACTAGTGAGATGGCATTGGTACATGCAACCTTGATGGGATTGTATTGGAATCCCCTGGCACATTTCTAACTCCACCATTTGAGGGAAGTCCGATTGAGCATGTCCCAAATTGTAACTGAAAAGAGTTACAACTCTTTATATGTGACACAAGATGTGCCTGCATTTAGTAAAGTTGTACACAAGGACATGAACATGTTGAAGCATGTATTGCTGAAAATTACAAACTCTCGTCTCAAATCTTCAGTAATATTTGCATTTTACTTGAGTTCTGTTAAAGGCCTAGATTTCAGCCTCTAGTAATCACTATTTTGTGTCAGATTGAGTTTTTCTTAGCTTTCCCAAGTGAGAGAGAACATGTCTTATTTGTCTTTCTGTATCTGGTTAATTTCAATTAACACGATATCCTCCAATTCCATTCATTGTGCTACAAATGACAGGATTTCATTATTTTTTGGCTAATATTCTATTGTGTATATATACCATATTCTTTTTATTCACTCATCTGATGATGGATGCCTTGGTTCATTCCATATCTTAGCTATTGAGAATGCTGCTGCAATAATGTTCATTATTGGTGGAGCAGGTATCTCTTTGATATAGTGATTCCATCTCTTTTGGACATTTTTATTTCTGGCTTTCAAAAAAAATTTCCATAGTGGCTATATTAATTTATATTCCTACCAATGTATATAAGACTTCTCCTGTATCCACATTGTAACTAGCATTTCTGAATTTCCATTAGAATAGCCATTCTAACAAGGGTGTGGTGGTTCTCAGTGTGGTGTGGTTTTGTTTGCATTTCCCTCCTGACTAGTGAAACTGAACATTTTTTTCATATATCTGTTGACCATCTATATTTCTTCTTTTGAGAACTGTTTATTCAGGTCTTTTTCCCATTTCTTAACTGGGTTTGTAAACTGTTACCGAAGTTTTTTTTTTTTTTTTTTTTTTTTAGTTCTGATATATATTATCAATATAGATCCTATGTATCCTTTGTCAGAGAAATATTTTCTACCATTCAGTCAGATGTCTTCTCTCTATCTCCCTCATTGTCAGAAACTTCTCAGCCGATGTAATACTATCTGTTTACTTTTGCTTTGTTGCCTGCAGCTTTGGGGAGTTATCCAAAAAATTATTCCCTACACTACTCTTTTGAAACGTTTCCTTTATGTTTTATTCCAGAAATTTCATAGTTTCAGGTCTTACATTTATGTCTTTGACCCATCTTGCATTGATATTTGTATATGGTGAGAGATGGAGGCATAACTTCATTCTTTTCCATATGCATATACGGTTTTGCAAGCACGATTTGTTGGAAAGATTTTTTTTTCCTAATTTATGTTCTTTATACCCATGTCAAAGTTCAGTTGGCTGTATCTACATGGACTATTTCTAGGTTGTCTAGAAATACATTGTTGCATTGATATATGTGTTCATTATTATGCCAGTACCATGTTGTTTTGATTATTTTGCCTTTATAACATGATTTGAAATGAAATATTGTGATGCCTGCAACTTTTAATATTTTTTTCAGGATTGCTGTGGCTATTCTGGGGTTTTGGTGGTTCTATGTGAAGTTAATGATTTTTTTTCTAATTCTGTGAGAATGTTATTGGTAGTTTTATAGGGATGACGTTGAATCTGTAGATTCCTTAGATAGTGTGAATATTTTAACAAAATTAAATTATTCAATCAATGAACAAAGAATTTTTTTGTGTCCTGGATAATTTCCTTCATCATTATTTTATAATTTTCATTGTAGAGATTTTTTACCTTTTTATTAAATTTATTCCTAAATATTTAATCTTTCTAGCTATTGAGAATGGGATTTCTTTTTAGCAAAATCATTATTGGTCTGTAAAAATACTATATTTTAAAGTCAATTTTGTATTTCTGAATTGGATTATCAATTGAAGGTTTAGATTTTTCCATGTACAAATCATATCATCTACAAACATGGATGGATGGATGTTTTGACTGCATCATTTCCAATTTTGGTGACTTTTTTAATTTCTTTCTCCTCCCTACTTGCTTTAGCTAATTTTTGTTTTACTATTGCTAATATTTGTCTTGTTACATATCTGAGAGGAAATGCTTTCAGATTTTCCCACTTAGTATGATACTGGCTGTGGGTTTGTTTTACATAGCCTTTATAATGTTGATGTATGCTCTTTTTATACCTAATTTTAGAAAGTTATTTATCATGCTGAATCTTATTTTCTTATTCACATTTATTTATTTTTAAAATTTTTCCCCAGTAGTACTAATCCCATCTTATGTGATAAAGTGATCATATTAAGTGTGAAATTGATCATATACATAGAATTAAAAGTCAAAGGGATCACATAAATAAGACCAAGTGTCTGGTAATAACAAAAGATAGAATTACAAAGGAGAGAAAGTTTCAACATGGGAAGTAGTCCACACAGCAGACTCATAGAATGACAAACGACCTAAACATCACTCTGACTTCAGAATCAGTCCCTAAGGAATTCAGAACTGGCTGAAAATCCCATGAGAACATTTCAGGCATGGAAAGCCAAGATATAGTGGCAAAAACTGTTCTGCATGAAAGCTCTCTATGAATGAGATCCCAATGGAAAGAAGGGGCCATCAAAGGATCTACTTTTCTCTGAAGGGAGGAGATAACTTCCACTTTGTATATGGCCCTATATAAATACCGACAGAGTTTGTGGATTCAAAAGGCTTCCATAGCCTTGGCAGCTCATGTGGTCACTGACGTCAAAAAAAAGAATGTTAATTGTTAAATCAACAGCAGGAGTCACTGTTCACTTACTCCCCATGTTGGACCTCTGTCCTTAATGTGGTGTACTATAAGAATTAAGGGTAAAACTTGTCTTCAAACTGTGCTTTAGACTTTGTGTGTCTGTGTGGGTGCAAACTGTTGAAATCTTTATTTAGTATAAAGCTGATCTGTATATAAAGTCAATTGAAAAGGAATCTTAATGGAAAATGGAATAAGAGAGGGAGTAGGAGGTGGGATGGGAGGGCGGGAATGGGAGGAAGAACCACTATATTCTTAAAAGCTGTACATATGGCTGGCGCCGTGGCTCACTAGGCTAATCCTCTGCCTTGCGG